ACACACACCATGTCACGGGGCAGCACCACCATATCCACACACAACCACACACACACACACACACACACACACACACACACACACACACACACACACACACACACACACACACACACACCTGCTGTGGATGGATGACGGATGGTGCCTGACGGTGACACGCTGCCGTGGGCAATGCTGATCCCCGGGCACGGCACGCCAATGCACCGCGGCATCGTCCCGGCCCACGTCTTGTCTGTCTGGCACTGCAGCTTGTTGTCGCTGGAGCTGGCCAGCATGTACCCTGGCGCGCACGTGTATGTCGCTGTGCTGGGATACCGCCCGTTGTTGCTTAGCGAGGACACGCTGCCATGGCTCACGCTCGGTGGCGTGTTGCACTGCACGCCGACGCACTCGCCAGCGCTGGAACCGCCGCACCCGGCGAGGTAGTACCCGGCCGCACACGACCCGCACGGGCTGCACGGCTGGTTGTCTTGTGACGTCTTGTATGTTCTGCAACGACAAGAAAGCAGCAACACAACGTTACATGCATGCAAACAAGGTGGTGTGTCCTTGTGTGAGGTCGCGCACCCGATAACACAAGCGAACGCACATATTGAGACACATGAATAGAATACACTTGCACTTGCACGCACACACACATGCACACACAAGTGCATACACGCCCACGCCTCTGCATCCAGTTGCACGCCCGACATTGCATGTGCCATGCTGTGCACTCACCCCGAGTCACACGGCGAGCATGTGCCTGCGCTGGTGCCGCTGCAGCCCGTGCGCTCAGAGCCTGCAGGGCACGACCCACACGACGTGCACGAACCAGCATTGCTGCCGCCGCAGTTGACGCGGTACTGGTTTGAGCCACAGGAGCCGCACGGTGTGCATGAGCTCTGGCCGCTGCTGGCGCTGTACGTGTTGGGGCCACATGCAGTGCACGACGTGCCACTGCCGTAGTAGCCCGGGTTGCACGAGCACGACCCGTCACATGAACTGTCGCAGCTGCCGTAGGTACAGTCATCACAGCTTTCGTCACACTGGTCGCAACCCCTGCGTAGACAGATACACACACACACACACACATGCGGGCATGTAGAGGGATTCATCCAATTGTGAGGTTGCGTTGCTGAGAAATACTGCACAAACCATCATACAAAGAAGTGGATGCGCAGAAAATCGTTGTTTGCACTCACGCGTCACATGGGCCGTTGCAGGTGTCATCACAATCTGGGTGCAGGATGAAGCAAGGGCCATTGTCGAAAAAGCGTTTGAGCAGTGCGCATGTGAGGAGGGAGGGACAGTGTGTGCGTGTGTGCGTGTGCGTGTGCGTGTGTGTGTGTGTTTCTGTGTAAGCGTGTGTGCGTGTGTGTGTGTGTGTGTGTGTTTCTGTGTAAGCGCGCGTGCGTGTGTGTGTGTGTGTTTCTGTTTAAGCGTGTATGTGCATGCGTGCGTGTGCTAGCACTAAATACAACAACTGAGCGGAGGACGAGAACAAGACCCACAAGTGTGCACACACAAGACTCATCGTAATTGACAAATCATGTGCGTACCTGCGTTGCAGTCGGTAGTGCATCCACCATCACAGTTTGTCCCGGTACACTGTGTGTCGCAGGATGTATCGCATCCGTTGATGCACCCTGTGAGATGGCAGGGGCCAGCAAGTAGCCAAGGTAATCAAGGGATGAGTGATGAAAAGGGAACTGATGTCGAAGTGAACTTGTTTGTGAACATCACAGGGGCTCACACCTTCGTTACACCCGCTATCGCAGCCAGCGTTACAGCCTGTGTCACATTCCAAAGTGCACGTGTTGCCTGGAATTCAATCACGTGAAGATATGGGCGTGTGGCGTGAGGTTGCTCTCTGGTTGTTCGTTGACAATAAGCAATTCAGCGCAGCATAGATACGCGGCGCAGAGATCATGACCACGGTACGTACAACCGTCGTCGCAGCCTTGGGTACATCCGGTGTTGCAATCCTCGTCACAGTTGTCGTCGCAATCTTCAAAACAGAAATCACAGCTGCATCCTGCCCAGCGAATCACAACGCATGATTTTGAGGTGGTGTAAGCGGAGGCAAAATGAACACAATCCGCTGTTCACACCCGCCACGTCACACCAAACTCCAAACGCAAGCAGACACAGAAGAGCATGCGCAGGTTTGCGGTACCGTGTTCATCACAGCCATCGTCGCACCCTGCTCATGCAATGCGGTCACAGTGACGGTGTTTCAGGTTGTGCGTATGGAAGTCATGTGTGTGTGTGTGTGTGGTGTGTGCGTGTGAGGGTGGGTCGTGATCATGTCGGACGAACCCAACGTCCAGGAAGGAAGCATAGCTGTAAGCAAGTAAGGTGCTTCAACACTTGCAGAATGCCCGAAGCAACGTTTGCATGCAGGCATGCACCTTGGAGTGGACTAACCTGAGACGCACACCGGGTTGCAATCGTCATCACAAGACCTGCCAATCAGGACAAGAGAGCAATCGAGCAAGGCAACGTGAGACAATGTCATTTATCGACCGGCTGGCATCCAAGGCACCCTGTTAGACTCCAACACAAGCTCAACTTGTTCGGGCGTCCAACAGACGTACAGATCGCAGAAGATGCATGTGTCGTCGCAGTCGCGATCGCAACCCGAATCACAGGACGTGTCACAACCAGATGTGCAACCCGTTGTGCAGCCATCATCACATGACCTGAATGAACATTCAACATACGCGCAGCAGCATGATACGTACGTGTGTGTGCGTGCGTGTGTGTGTGTGTGTGTATGTGTGTGTGCGTGTGTGTGTGTGTGTAAGCATTGGCGTGATTGTGTGTATGTGTGTGTGCACGTGGATGCGAGTCTGTGTGTATGTGTGTCTTTCAGCACGACGACCAAGGCAAGAAGCAGCGGCCACCGTTGCGGATGTACGCGTACAATGTACAGTCTAAATTGCATCCAGCGTCGCAGCCAGCGTCTGTTGTTGATGTGAATTCACGCACGCGTACCCGAGCCAGAATCAAACAGTCAACATCGCAAGTGTGTCAAAGCGCGCAGCAGTTGCTCAAGGACGCGGTATCAACAGCCAGCTGCACAAAGATACAATGAGCAACAGCATCATGGTGCATGCAAACAAGGAAAGATAGAGTGTATGTGCCACAACTAACCACATTCGTCGTCACAACCATTGTCACATGCTGTTGTGCACTCGTCACAAGAGTCATCACAACCGCCAGTGCATCTAATGTATGTTCAGCCACAGATGTCAACCAACAAAGCGAAGCGAGCGTGAACGTGTGTGTGTGCGTGTGTGGATGTGTGGATGTGTGGATGTGTGTGCGCGCGCGCGTGTGTGGTTGTTTGTGTATGTGTGTTTGCATGTGCATGTATTTGCACTTGTGTGTGTGTGTGTGTGTGTGCAAGCAAGAGTGTTGGGCCGTGGCAGGATCAGTAGATACATCACAAGACAAGCATTGATGCCTCCTCCCTTTCCTCCTCCACATTGGCAAGCTCGAGCAGGTGGTCAGTCAACGTTACATGATGTCGTCGCAAAGAGTATTGCAGCCGCCAAAGCAGAGGTCACAGCCTGTCGTGCACAGGTTGCAACTGTCATCGCAGCTGCCATCACATCCCGCGTCGCAGCCATTGCACGCCAATGTGCTGTGGAACCGCGTAAGGACGTCTTTCATGAGTTCTCCAGCCGGATGTGAGATTGCACACACACACACACACACACACACACACACACACACACACACACACACACACACACACACACACACGACGACGACG